CCCCAAAACCCCAAAACCCCAAAACCCCATCAGGAAAAATTTTTAGTCAGAATTGATTAATAACATTATTATTAATTATCTAGTTAACATTAATTTGTAAATTTAAAACAATGGAAAGATCGTCATCAAAAATCGACAACACTTCCTTAAATGGTCAAAACAGTATATAACTTTAATTCAATTCATTGAACTAGGACAGAGTAAGAATCGTAGTAGCAATCAAGAACTTTTTGAGAGTAAAGATAGTGAATACTCAAATGGAAAGTACAATTCAGAATAAAAAAGATCATTAAATGAGGTATTTTGAATAGAAACTTTAATCAAGATGTGTAGGAAAACAAAAAGAATGGAGAGGAATAGCAAAATTAAGGGAAAAAGAGAACTTACATTTAAGATATATTAAATACCAATGAAAAAGTTAATAAAACCAATGTTAAAAATGAAAGCCCTATTAAGAAGCAGCATTAATAGTAGGCTCATGTGCAAATTATCCTAATAGTTAATCCAAGATCTGGTAGTGGAGAGGGCTAAAGATTCTTAGAAGAATAGAATGAACATACTTGACTTATATGTTTGGAAGATAAAATAGTTGCTTGTAACATGAAAATCTATGATGTGACCAAACCAGAGGAGAGAGAAAAATATACTAACTTGATAGAGAAAATTTTACCCACTGGTACGTAGCTTCCCTATCATTTTGCTAACTAAAATTAGTGAATAATAGAAACCAGCTGATTCTTGCTATCTTAGGAGGAGATGGGTCATTACCTTAGGTGATCAAACAAATTAGATAAAGAGAGATTATCAATAATGTAAGAATAGATCTAACTAAATCATTATCTTTTAGAATTTGATTAAAATTACATTTTGCTCTTTGCCATTCGGAACTGGAAATGATACAGGAGCGACTTTTGGATGGGGTCGTAAGTAAATTTTATAATTTCTTTAATTGAATTAGTGGTTCCAGGTCCTTATGCAGAAAGCATCGATACTCTAATAAATTCATTCATCTGGGCTTATAAAGATTAATTAACTTTTTGGGAGGTGAATGTTGACGGGGAAATATATACTCCTTTTGATGAACGAACTGAGAATGTTTTTGGTTTATGCTGCTATTTTAATATCGGTATCGATGGAGAAATTGGGAATGGTAATATATATCGGATTCAAAACTTTATAAAGAGGTTGAGAGAAGACGTGTAAGGTCAAGATGTATAAATCTTTGGCTATATTTTTACTGGGGATCAGTTAAGATCCTTGATTTCTGTAAGCATTCAAACAGACAAATCAAATAAATTGTGCAAAAGGTTAAATATGCTCCAATAGGAAGAAGGTATCTGATTTATTTGATGAAATTCTAATTTAAAATATAGACAGAAAGTATTGACAGATTTAAGTTTGGTAAATCATGAACCATTGAATCTCTGTGGAATGAATATGCCTTAGATGATGGGTGGTAAAGTTTATTATGACTTTTGGAATAAGAACAAAGAGAACAAACTTTTCGACAGGGAAAAAATCCTTAAGAAACATGGAATTGACTTTTTAGGATGGGATACAGAAACTGCTTCTTCTTGTGATGATACTGATGATTAGATACAGAGATACGATGATGATAAAATGGAGTTGGTTGGGGCACCGGATTGGCTTTAGTTTTCTACTTTTAATTATCACAGATATGGACAAGCTAAATCCCCATTCTAAGTTGAATTCCGAGAAGATTTAGATCATGACAAAATAATATACATGGCAAATGATGGAGAATATTTCAAGTTAAAGAAGTTAAAGAAAATTACTTTTAGAACTGACCCCAAAGCTCCTAAACTAAACATGCTTAGATTTAACCCTGATTGCATGATTTGAGGGGATATTTTGCTTTATTTTTAGGAAATAACAATTTAGAAATGACTTAAAGCGAAAATGAAGATATAATTAGTTTTTTTGGTGGTATTTGATAAAGCTTTATTATTTTATCAACATAAATTTCCAAATTAATCCCATTAATAAGCAAATTATTAAATAAATGGGGTTTTGGGGTTTTGGGGTTTTGGGG